AAGCCGGGCTATCCACCGCCTTCTGCAAGGTCGTGTACGACCCAGCGGAGGCAGTGCGATGCAGGTACAAGTCTCGGCTTACCGTTGAAGCGCCTCTTCACGTATCCACCGTAGTTGTTCTGCCGGGGCGGTCCAGGCTCTTTGTACAGGGTTCGAGTCCCCATTCCGGCAGGCGACCCTCGGACAGCCTTGGCAGTGAACTCGGGACCATTGTTCTTGTCCGTGGCGGATGCCAAGGAGAAAGTGGAATCCTGTCCCCACGGGAGTTCGCCGTACTGGCGGTAATAGCAGGTTGACCCGTAAAACTTGCACTATGGCTGGTGCAGTAAATGGGGCAATACCATAGCCCTGAATCCTGACATTGATTCTGGATCGCTTTGGGGGCAAGCCACCTGGGAACAAGTAAGTAGCTGAGTACAGATTGAAGCAATAGGGCGAAGTGGGATGCCTTGCGGGTCAGTGGATCCTGGAGGCTCGTGGATGGCGGGCCGCTGCCATATCTTCAGTAGTCAGGCCGGCGAACCGCTGCGGGCGATAGGGCCCTAGCACCGCATCGGCAGGCGTTCCGTCGCAGATTTCCTGGGCAGCCAATTGGCTCAAGGCCGGAGCAAGGGTAACGCCGCTGTGGGTTAGGGCAACGTACAGATTGGGCGCCTCGGACGCAAATCCCATCACTGGATAGCCGTCCAGAGGCATCGGCCGCCAGCCCACCGGCACCGGAAAGGCACGAGCACCGTTGATTCCGGGCAGATAGCGGCAGGCCCGGGTCAGCAGATCGTCGGCGTGAGTCTGGGTATCGTCCTCGGCCAGGCTCTCTTGGTCGCCTTCGCCGATCATCAGGCTGCCGTCGGCAGATTGTCGCAGATGAATTTCCCGCCGGCCATCGCCGAGGGCTGGCGCGTACACCACCGGCACATTGGAGAGCAATGGCGGTAGAGGGTTGGTGCGAATCACCACGCCGGGACTCTCTGCTTGGGGCACATTGACTCCAGCCAGGGCGGCCAGGCCGGTGGTTTCAGCGCCTGCGGCGATGACCAGCACATCTGCTCCCATTGATCCCGACGTGGTTTCCAATCCCTGGATCCGACCATCATCGTAACGGTCGAACCCAAGAACTTCCGTCTCGGTATGAATTGCACAGCCCTTTTCCCGAAGGCGCCGCAGGATCGCATCCACCACCATTTGCGGCTCGACCTGGCCCTCGTTGGGGCTGTACTCAGCGGCGGCTACTGGGCCAATGTGCAGTGCCGGTTCCAGGAGGCTCAGTTCGTCGGCGTCGATCAGGCGGGACGGGTAGCCCCAAGATTGGAGCTGCCGAACCCGGGACACCAACCCCGCGGCGGCCACCGGGTCGAATTCCCAGGAGACCTTGCCGCCCCAGCGGAGGCCGATGCTGGCTGGATCTCCGTCATCGCCGATGTCAACAGCGAATCGAGACCACATTTCCAGGGAACGACGGTTCAGGTTGTGATAGCCGACGGGTTCTTTTGCTCCGGCGTTGATCCAGGCAAAGCTGTGGCTCGATGCGCCGTGCCCAGGTTGGCCCTTGTCGATGAGGTCGACGTGAACACCGCGCCGGGCCAGCCGCCAGGCAATCGCGGCGCCCACGATACCGGCGCCAATGACGGCTACGTTTCGTGGCATTTCGGTTTTGGTCATCTGCTAAGACTCCTACCCCCAAGGGGCGACTTCGCGAGTGCTCCGGGACTGTGCGCGGTGGCTCGTAGCGCACCACAGCAAGCTCCGCCCCAATTTTCAGCAATATGCCCATGGTGTTACTGATGGCTTCTGGCCCGAGCTCCGGCATAGTCATCGTCAGTGGCAACGCTGCCAAGAACGGCGTTCCCGGATGCGGGGAAGTCCGCAGCGCGATGCTCACCGTGCCGTTTGTGAAGAACGCACTTTTAGGCTGGTTGACTCGGCGAATCAACCACGTTGCGTTAATGGATTACATCTCCCGCGACGGTTGGGATAGTCGCCTCAGTGAACGGGTCCTGCTGCAGCCATTGTCTCGACGTGAATTGGCATCGGCGGATTAACAGGGTCTATTGCCGGTCTATTCCGACCCTTGAAAAGTCAGGACGAACGCAGAACCGTCCCGATGATAGTTGTCGTCCCGGTACTCAACAATCGTGCCTGGGCTGAGCAAACAACCCTGTGGTCCATAACTGCGATACCCTACTGCCGCACAGGCGAAGAGTCCAAGCAAGCAGCAATTCAATTCCCGGCCTGGGCGCTGGCCAACACTTCAAAAGGAGGCTCAGGCATGCCTTCAGTCCAGTTGGGATCCCGCAGTTCCAGCCGGTTGCCGCTGGGATCGTAGAAATACAGCTCGCGCCCAGTGAAGAAACCCCGGCCGCGGTAGGTCAAATTGTCAATCTTGATGTCCCTCTGGTGGAACACCCTGCACGCTTCGTCGAAGGTCTCGGGCGATACGGTAAAGGAATGGTGAGCCCCACCATCCTCCATCAATGTTCCATCAGCCGGGTTGGAGCGCTCGCACAATAGAATGTTATGGTCGCCGACGTTGAAGCAGGACATTGTGTTGTTGCCCAGCCTTCCCTTGGGAGTCAGGCCCAGCAGTTCGCCATAGAACGCTTCCGACTCGTTCAAGTCGTTTACGGGGATTGACCAGTGAGTAATACCTTCAACTTTCAAGACTGCCATATCGCCTCCTCCTGCCTGCCAAAAACTCGATTGTAAGAAAAGTCGAAAACTCGCAAATCGCGCAGCAATATCACGTTTGGTTGCCTCTTCTGCTAGGCAGCCATTATATGGGAGTGCCGGACGGACGCCACCTTTTTTGCAATACGCGAAGACGGACCCACTCAACGAGACGTCAGCTTTAATCGAATCGTGGTCTAACGTGGTATCCAAGCGGGAATTCGGCCCTTCGCGGACCCCCCCGGCAAGTTGTGGAAATCCCTGGAGTGCCCCCTGACCCAGTCGATATACCAGGACCATAAATCCCCGTGTAGACTAAAATGCCGCGCAAGGGAACCTTAAGTTTGGCCGACAGAGATGTAGCGCCAATCGCCACGAGCCCTCAGGCCCACTAAGATGGCTCCGCAGATGAAATCTACCGCACCGACCGGGAGGTTCGAATTCCTGTTCCTCGCCTTAAGCGGCATCGGCTTTGCAGGGCCGCTAAACAACGCATTCTTAGTGGAAGTAGTGTTTGCGTTGCCGGTGATTGAACCGGTGCTCCTCAGGGGGGGCAACAGGAAAACTTCCCCGCGATCCAGGCAGCAGCACGGGCTGCCGGGTTCCTCTATAGCCCTCTACCTGTTATTCGATGTGCTCTACCATTGTGCGGGCCCAGGAAGTCGGCTGCCCGTGAAATCGACGGCACGATGACCCTGAAAATTGCCAGTCATCTCTCCGCAGTAATAGAAAGGCGCAGAGCTAAACCATGGCCACGGCTGTCACTTCAAATAACAGCTCAGGGATCAATCGGTCGGATGGGCCGGGACGTCGTATGCGGTGCATCGAAACTCCAGTCGCCGAGGGAAAGCTGTCGCCGAAAAACCTCCTGCGCACTTCCCCGGTTCTCCGGTATGCCGACAGGCCGTTGGGGGGAACCCACTCAATGGTGTTGACCACGTCGTCCATGGAATAACCGCCTTCGGCCAGCACTCTCGCCAAGTTGCCGTAGGCCTGCTCGGCCTGTGCCACGATGTCGAAGGGGGCCACGACGGAGGCGGTCGTGTGGTCGACGCCTGCCTGTGCCGAGAGCTGAAGCATCCGCCCCTTCTTTACTCCCGGAACGTAAGTCGCGCCTCCGTAGCTGGGCTCCCAACCCGGCACCTGTATCTCCTCGCGGTTTCCCCCAAGCACCGCGACCGCTTCAACCTCCACGTGCCCCTCGGGACGGAGCAGGCGGTTGACCGTGATGCCGGTGTTGGCCGGGTATGCGCCCTTGAAGAACTCCCGGCGCGCGTCGGCTGATCCGCCGTCATACTGGAGCCAAGCCTGTGGCGACACGTACTCGAGGGTCTTGACGACGTCGGAGGGAGCGGCCCCGGCGGCCTCAAGCACGCTGCCCACGATCTCGTAGGTGAGCCCCATCTGTCGGCCGGTGTCCTGGGGAAAGGAGGCCTGCCCCTCAACCTCTTCGCTTCCGACGAAGCCGGAGGTCCACAGAATATCGCCGGCAACTACGCCGGGCACGTATGTGAGGGCGCCGTACCGGTCGTAGCCGGGGTTTACGCGCGCGTTTCTCCCCGCGCACCGCCACCGCACTGACTTCCAGCAGGGCGTCGGGCCGCAGCAGGCGCTCCACGCAGATTCCAGTGAACCCCACCGGAGTGCCACCAAGGAATTCACGACGGATGGCGCCAGTCTCACGGTACTGAGGGAGAGCTGACGGGTCGATATAGTCTACCGTCTGCACCACGTTGTCGAAGGACATACCGGCGGCTTCCAATACGACGGCCAGTTTTTCATAAATAACCCTGGTCTGGTCCAGCAGGTCGCCCTTGCAGACGACACCACCCTCGGCCGGGTCGTACTCGCTGGCAGTCTGTCCGGCGAGGTACAGGATCCCGCCGCCTTCCGCTCCAAGACAGAAGGTGTACCGGTTCAGGTCCAGCCACGGAAATTTCTGCGGGTCGACCTCGACAACGTTTCTGGGCATAACAACTCCGTCCCATCGACCAGCTCGAGACAAGGCTGGCGGGGGGACTTTCAGCCGATAGCGCCTGAGGATACCAGTCTTTCGTATTCCTCGTCCGGCACTTGCAGCAGCTCCTTCAGCACCCACTGGTTGTGCTGGCCGAAGTGCTGCCCCGAACGGACGCTGCCACCTACCTCCGTCCGTCCGTGCGGCGGCGCCGGGTAGGGAGGGAGAGGACGGCCGCGTACCGTGGCCACATGGGTGCTCAGAGCGTGCGCACACGAGCCGCGCGGTCCAACAGGTGCGGGTCGGCGAGCACGTCGGCGCTATCGTTAACGGGCGCAGCCGGAACCCCCGCAGCCTGCAGGACTGCGACCACGGCTTCTTAGAACCTTGACTGACGGACAGTCCAGTGCTGAAGCAGCGCCTCCAGCTCATCCTGGTTTTCCACGCGAGCGGTGACAGTGGCGAATCGCACATCGTCAGCCCAGCCGACGTTGCCGGTGACATTTGACAGTGGCCAACACGCGAATGTTAGACATCGGTCTCGCCGTGCCACCGCCACCCACTTCTCCTCGCCCAGGCACCGGAACACGTTGTGGGGCGATTTCCGCCCATCGCGGTTGCCCACTCTTGGCGGTTCCTTTCCGGTCAGGGAATATTCCATCACCGCTTCAGGAATCATGCCGGTCAGGGCTTCCGTCATTGACACCTCGATAAACTGGCCCTCGCCGGTCTGGGAACGGTGGTACAGCGCCTCCAGAACTGCCAGGACGCAGTAACAGCCAGCGAAAGCGTCAGGGATCAGACCTCCCATGATCCTTGGGTGGGAACCAGGGTAACCAGTAATGGCTGCTAGGCCGCTGAAGAGGTTGATGACGCTGTGAAACCCGGTCAGGTCCTTGAACGGCCCGCTGCGGCCAAAGGCACCCAGGGACATGTACACAATGTCGGGCCGGAGGTTCTTCACCTCGTCATAACCAAGGCCCAGGTTTTCCATCACACCGGTTGCGTAGTTTTCCACCAGTACGTCGCTGACGGAAATGATGTCCCTGGCCAGTTCCAATGCCTCGGGCTGGCGAAGGTCGAGGGAACAACTCAGCTTGTTATTGTTGACGAGGTTGAATCCGCCGCTGCGATCCCTGCCGAACTCTCCGTCGGCGAAGGGCGGCCATACGCGGGTGGTGAAACGGGACTCAGTCTCGACCAACACCACCTCCGCACCCATCCAACCAAGCATCTGGGCCGTTACTGGCGCGGCGATCACCTGGCCAAAATCGGCCACCCGGATGCCCCGCAGAGGCGGTGGCGACGAGATCATACTTTGCTCTCCCGCACAGCCCTCGCGCTGGCCTGCTCTCCGAAAGCATCGAACAGAGACCGCGCTTCGCTCTCCGACCAGCCAAGCCAGTCCTGCAGGACCTCGACTGTGTGCTGTCCCAAACGTGGCGCCGGGCGGAACGACCGCCAGGGCGTGGCGCTCATTCGGATGGGATGCCCGGGCAGCTTGAAGCTCTTCTTTCCGGGGCTGGCGAACTCCTGCAGAAAGCCCCTCTCGGCTACGTGTGGCGACTCCATCATCTGGCCCACTGTGTAGGCCGGAAAACAGGGAACACCCCGCTCCTGGGCCAGGCGGGCTATCTCCTCGCCGGTGTGGGACATGGTCCATTCCAGCATAAGTGGTTCCAGCGCGTCCCAGTTTCGAGCCCGGTCCCGGGCGGTGGACAAACACCTCCAGGTCGGCCAGTCCGGTCGTTCGCAGCCCGCATCAAGCTGGCCAATGCCATCGAGGACCGCCATGATCACCACGTAGCCGTCTTGCACCGGCATATAAACGTTTGGCATCAGAGCGAAACCGAGCAACTCCCGCTTCTTGGCCTCATCGTAGGCAGCGTGAGCCAACTCGTATGGCAATGACCGCAGCCACTCCCTCCTGCAGCGAGAGGTCGATCTCGCAACCTTGCCCGCTGAATTGGCGGGCCAGCAGCGCCGCCACACAACCTGCCGAGCCCAGCACCCCGGTCATCAGTTCGGCGAGCGGAGTGTTGGCGGTGAGCGGGGGGGTTCCATAGCTGGGTCCAGCACGTCCGTCGGCACTCCGGGAGTGCTGAATGACAGACCGCCGGCCGCACCGCCGTAGGTCGTCCCCACGTGGTGCTGTTGGGACCCGATAGGCCAAAGGCGTGAGGCGCAGACTATCAGACGGGATTGAGATGCTGAAAAACTTGGTCGGCGCATGCCTGCCCACAGTGATACTCAGCGCTACTGCCCGCCGACGATCAGGATATCCGCCTTTGCGACCAAACTCACTGGACGCTGCTTTCTGCGTCGGGTCCTGTAGCTCCAGGCCAATGCCCCGTTGTGTTGGCGTTCAGGTACAGGAACTCCGCTCCAGTTCCGGGTCGGCGTTGCCATCCGGGAAGGGGCCGTGCCGGCGATAGGGATCGCCCGAGGGCGATTCGACACTCACCACGTCGGCCCGCGTCGCCGAGCAGCACGGGCAGCTAGAAGGACGCCGACGCCGTCTCGGGTACTCCAAAACACCTCACACCTGCGAGAGACGACGGCCGTCGTCGCGCGGCCGGGTTAACGTCAGCGCTCATTGGGGCCGTCCCAGCGGAACGAAATGAATCGGCTTGAGCGGATCGGGCGACGCGGGCCGCAACGGAAGCTGGACCACCGCGCTGGCCGGTTCAACCACACGCTCCGTACGCTGATTCTCGATCCACAGGTCGCACTCGGCGAGTCCCGGCCCCTCACTGTCGTCGCCTCCCTGTACAGCCCTGCCACCACGCCCTTGCAGACTAGGGAGTCGCGCGGGGATAAACCATGATCCGGTTGCGGAACCCCAGGCTTGCGCAGAAAGGCTCGCGGGCCCGCCCAGTCCTGAACGTGTTGGGCCAAAAAGGCGCCCAGGCATTGACCGTCCCACGAACGGGCCGGGGAATCACAGTCCCGGCACGTGATCGGCGTCGTAGTGGACGCGGATGAAGTCCCAGGTGGCGGCGCCGTAGGCCATCATTCGGGGAAGGTCGAATTGTTTATGGAGCGCGTCGTTCCTCTCCTGCTGAGACGTCCTCAAAGTACCGGTAGGCGCCGACGTTGAGATCATCTGGCGCCTCCTCCCGGTATTTAGAAAGGGTCTCGGTTGTGCGGGCAGCATCGCCGCTCTGGTTGAGATAGGTGGCCCTCAATGACTTGGACTATGAGCGTACCGGAGCGGCCGGTGCGTTCGTACACGTCCTTCACCAGCCAGCGGGCTGTGAGCACGTCGTCTGGGTGGATAGGCTGGAAGAACTCATACTCGTTGCCGCTTAGCCGGCCAGTTCCTTGAATAGGCCGCGCCCCACCAGATCGCCGCGTTCGTCCATATCGCTGTCGACATACTGCCAGGTATCGCAAACAAGGGTAGGTGGTGCCATCACATCTCGAAGGCCTTGGGCGGCGGCCTGTTCCCGGTCTGAGTAGATCGGATTGAAGTCGCCAACGCCAGGCGTATAGACGGAATGCCGACCGCCCTATCTCGTCGGGGCTTGAACACCAGCTCCCGCCCGACCGTGGTCTTCAACTGCTCCAGCAGCGAATCCGCCATATCTGTCTTTGCCCGCGTGCCCTAGCGGCCCTTGAACTTTGGTTCCCGCTTTTCAAGGAACGCGGCCAGGGCTTCCCGGTGGTCCTCGGTGGCCAGGGACAGGATCTCCGCGTGGGCGGCCTCAGGCAGATGCTCCTCGAGGGATTGACCCAACCCTCGGTAGACCATTCCCTTGACAGGCGATTGCCACCGGGGCCTTTCCAGCGATCTGGAAGCCAGCGCATAGTCTCCGCTCCAGTTCCTCGTAAGGAACCTGCCGGTGAGCACACCGAGGCGCAGTGCCTCATCAGCCTCCAGCCAGTCCGCTGTGTACAGCAACTCCAGCGCCCTGCTCACCCCCAGTACCCGGGGGTAGAGCCACCGGTCGCGCCGTGTTGGACACCAGCCCCATCTGCAGAATGCGTCATGAAACGGGAGTGCTCGCAACCGACCCGTATATCGCACGCCAGCACCAGTCGAAAACACAAATGGAGAAACGAAGAGTTCGTCAAGGTCCGGGCAACAATGACTCGCTTGACGCGGCGTGTACAAAGGCCGCCCGGGCCGCGATCGAATATGTTAGCATCAGGCCGATTTCCCGGCGGACCTGCAGACCACCGTCAGTCCGTCAGTTTCGACATATAAACTCTTAAGGAGGCGAAGAGTGGCAGCCACAGATTCGATCATGTATTCATTGGAGCGCAATTGGAGATGGTGGATGGTGGAAGCTGCGATCTCCGACTCGACTACGAGAACTTGGCATGCAGCCAAATACCAAAAGCAACTCCATTGCCTGGATATTCGGCCACATCAGCCGGGTCACAGACATGTTAATATGCATCGGCTGCAGTCCAGCCGAGCTTTTGGTTTGCCGATGGGTTGGTGCGAAAAATTCGGGCTGCCGACAAAGTGGAAAGGGTAGGAAAGGGAAGACGCCGACCTCGCCACGTGAGAAAGCCCCCGGCAAAAGAGGTGAAGTCGGCTATTTTGAGGCACGAAGGCCATCACCGAGAATACGTGCCATCGCTGTCCTCCGAAGACCTGGAGAAAAGGGTGGTGTTCGCCCACGGCGCTGCGTCAGGAGCAACCTGAACACTGCGCCTGGGCCAACTGGTGTTCGAGAGCGTCGCCCCAGGTGGCCAGATCGTTACCTGAGGGGGTACCATCGAGGCACCGGGTGGTGGTAACAGTAACGGAATAGTGTTGCTATTGAGCGCGGTCCCAAGAGGTCCAGCAAGGCTCGATCCAGGAGGTCGCGGATAAGACATAAACAACCACCCCTTGGCCGCGCATCGCCCGCCCAAATGGTTCGTGCGGAACGCACGGAATGACTTGCCGGCGGCAAACTAACCCTCCTCGGCGAAGGGGCGCCCCATAATTGTACCGGTATTTGAACGCACCGTGTTGGCGGCTACACTCTTTGCGCCTGCGATGGAGGTCTGGCCCGGACCAAACGCCGCCGGGTTGGCTCAAGCCTTTCTTGGCGTCTCGGTCTCCGTGTTCGGGGCATTCAATCTCGGCCTGCCTTGCAAGCTCCTCGTGGCCCAGCAAAAGATCCAGTTCATCCAATCGCATCGTCGATTCCGGGACAAGTTTTCTCCTCTTTTCAACGATGATAGACTGCCGCAATACAATACCAGCATAGAATGAGTTAAAAGGGAGGCAGGAATGGCCAGAACGCCAACAGTTACAAGGGAATCCGTGCCAGATCGAGAACGTGATGCCTTCGATGCTTTCGTGGCCGCCCGGGGAGAAGTGCCCGCAACCGGCCCCGGCTCCGTGATGCTCAATGCCCCTGAGGTCGCCCAGCGCGCCCTCGGCCTGGCCGCCTATCTCCGCACCGACACATCGCTCTCGCCTCGCATCCGGGAGCTGGCGATGCTGCTGGCGGCCCGCGAAACGCCTGCCAGTCATCTGGAACGCCCACGCTCGAGCCCGGCGCGGCGCGATGGCCTTCTGCGCGAACGAACTCGTCGACGCGCTTCGCAAGTACAAGACAGAATTGCCCAACGCAGAGGATCGAGTTGGCGGTGGTCAACTACGGGCGCGGGGAATTCTTCCGCACCCGTCGCGTTCCATGCCGGGAGTCGTTCGACGCGTTTGTGGCGCACTTCGTAGTCAACGCGCGACCGCGCTGACAACCCTGATGTGCTGCTACGCCCCTGCTGGCCTTTCACACGTCAACGCTTTCTGAGTCGACCTGCCGGACGCATCACCGAGAGCCCGCTGCCATCTAGCGACGGCGGCATGACAGACACCTGCAAGGAGGGACCGATGGGACTCTGGAAGCATACGGCCCAGCTGCTGTCCGAGATCCCTAACGAGGCTATCAAGCACATGCGCGGGACCACAGGCTCGTCGACGCTCCTTTGAAGTGCCGACCGACCCCCTGGACCGCCGCAGCCGCATTCCGCACCGTTTACGGAATACTGTACCCGGCCCTGCCAGCCAAGGACGTCAGGAAGGACCGCCCGAGGTGCTGCGGATGCTGGGCGCCCTGACCTGTCTTCTTCCGCGATAAGCGAGGCGAGTGCAGCCTTGTTGGACATGTGCCGCACTCGCTCGGTATACCTGTCGATGGGGCGCTGCTATTTCAAGGGGTTCCTTACCTGTCTACCACGGCGCCACCTTCTGCGGCGATGTGCACTTTGCGTGCCTTCCTCACCGGGGCCCGACGTCCAGATGACCGGGCGCTCCGGCATCGGGCCCGCAAGTACCCCACGCCACATCAAGGAATGATCTCGTCTTGATGGCGACGGCGAACCGTCGCCCCCGAAGAGACATCCCGCCGGAGATGTTCGAGCAGCACAACATCTTCCGGCCCGTTCACCATGTTCGACTGCAACTGGGTCCTGGTGCTGGAGAACACCATGGACGCCCACAACGCCTTCATGGTGCACCGCAATTCGCTGCGCATCCTGAAGAGCCGCTTGGGAGGCCGCCCGCGGACTCCCCTGGCTACCGGGTGACGTTGGTCAGAAAGAACGTCCACTACCGCCCGGGTGAGGGTAAGTCCCACGTGGAAAAGTACTACGAGGACGAAAACGGCGTGGTCCCGTACCAGATGTACTACCCCGGCGTGGATGGAGTCTGGCCCCTGCACCGCTGGCGCTGTCTGTGGACTTGGTTCTTCGACCGGAAGGCGCGTCGGCGCGGACAGATGCCGGGACGGCTCCAACCCCCGCAGGCCGACAGTCCACGTGCAACGAGTGGAACGGCACCCGCCTTCCCGGTATGTCCCGCACCGGCGGCAACAACGAGTTCTTCGCAGCACCCGCTGGGCCGTGCCCGTTGAGGCCAATCTCACGCGCATGGTGTACCTGAACGTGGAACGGTACGCCACCCGCCCAGGCATCGTCCGAAGGTTCTGGAGCAGCGTTACATGGCCCTACCGGAACTGGGAGCTGAACTTCAACTTCCGGAACCAGGACTACGACGCCGAAAAATACGTCCAGTACGCCTCTCCCGAGTACTTGTCGTCCACCGATTCGGTTGTGGTGGCAATGCGCGGCTCTTCGTGGAACACGCCCGCGACGTCCAGCGCCGCCGGGAGCGGGAAGAGGAGCTTCCGGAAGCACTGGAGGAAACGGAGGCCGAAAGGATGGTGCGGGAGGTCGACGCCCAGGTCGCAGAGGCGTCGAAGGCCTTCGACGCAGACCGCCTGGAAGAGGAACTGCTGCGCCGGGCCTGAAGCTCGAACCCGGCGCGGGCGCAAGAGATGATCAAGTGGTGAAGATCACGTAAAAAGGAGGAGACTCATGTCCAGGGTTACGATGATCCAGCACATCAATCTCCAGATCACCGACAAGGAACAGACCCGCGAGTGGTATGAGAAAGTCCTGGGCGCTGAATACCTCGACCGCGGCCCGGAACTGAACCAGGGACAGCTACAGCTGAGGATCGGGAGCGGCGAAATCCACAGCACTCTTACCCCGACCCCCAACCCGTCGGGCCACTTCGCCCTGGAAATCCACGACTGGGACGATATGATTGCCAACCTGGACGCGCTTGAAATCCCGTATTCCCCGCCCACGGTCCGTGGCTACAGTGGCGGGCACTCCACCTACATCAAAGACCCCGACGGGAACATGATCGAGCTGGTGCAGCACCCACTGGGGCTGAGGAACTCCAAGGACGAGACCGTCGAGGTGGCGCATGACCCCAACGGCATGAGGTGGGCGCAACGCTCCGGATTCGGCCCAACGGGCTGACCACCCTTCCCCCGGCTGCGTATACCCTCGAAAGACAATCCCATTCTTTCGCGGGGCAGGACACAACCGCATCGGAGGCGCACCCATGCCATTTCTCGGCGTTGAACCCGGAGTGGAACTGCACTATTACGATGACGATTTCACCGATCCCTGGCGGCCGCGCCGACCATGCTGCTGCAGCACGGGTTTTCGCGTAACGGCAGGTTCTGGTACAACTGGGTGCCCCTGCTGTCCCGCCAGTTCCGCATCCTGCGCCCCGACATGAGGGGCATGGGCGGCACCAGCATCGACGAGGCCCAGTTCGAGCCTTCCCTCGACACTTTTGTGGATGACGTGAAGCGCATCCTGGACCATCTGAGATTGAGGATGTGGTGTATGTGGGGGAGTCCTTCGGGGGCATCATCGGCCTGAATTTCGCCCACAGATACCCCGCGCGCACCCGCGCGCTGGTGCTGTGCAACACCCCCTGCCGCCTGCCCCGCCGGGAACGTTCCGGACGGGGAGAGGAAGTGGACGCCGCCCTCAGTCGGAGCGTGGGCGCCTGGTCCACCGCCACCATCAACAACCGGCTGGACACCCGGGTGGCGCCGCAGGGACTCATCGACTGGTACATCGCCGAGATGGACCGCACGCCGTCCTCCATCGGGCGGAGCCTGCAGGGATACCTCGATACTCTGGACTTCAGCCCTCACCTGAAGGAGGTCGAAACCCCGACGCTCCTCCTAGTGGGCGAGGAATCACCCACCTCCACGCTGGAGCAGCAGCAGTTCATGGCCGAACAGTTGCCCGACTCCCAACTGGTGGTCTATCCCGGCCTGGGCCACGGGATCAATGCCATCCACCCGGAGTGGTGCACTCAACAGGTGCGCCAGTTTGTAACTTCGCTCACCAATTAAGGCAATTATCAAGGAGGGAACCATGCCCCACTACATGTATGTAGCCGTGAATGAAGACAACAAGATATCGGTCTTTACCGTTGACCCTCAGACGGGAGGTCTCACGCATCAGCACGATGTGCCGGTCGACGGCGGGCCGTTCACACTGGCTATCAGCCCGGACCGCAATCACCTGTACGCCGGCTGCCGGGAAGCCCCCCAGTTGGCCAGCTTCCGCATCGACCAGTCCGGTGGCGGCCTCACGCGGACGGGTACGGTGCCGCTGGATTCCTGGCCCGTCTACGTCAACACCGACCGCCGAGGCAGGTTCGTGCTGTCGTCCTACTACCAGGGCGCGCGCGTGGCGGTGCATCCTATCGGAGATGACGGTTCGTTGGGAGCGCCGCCCGTCGTGTCGTTGGAAACGGCGACCGGCGCCCACGCCATGCAGACCGACCCGACCAACCAATACGCGTTCGTGCCTCACATCGCGGGTAACGGCCCCAACCAGGTCTGGCAGTTCAGGTTCGACGAGAGCACGGGCCAGATCACTCCCAATTCTCCTCCATTGGTGGAGCCTGAAGAATTCCTGGGGCCTCGCCATTTCTGCTTTCATCCCTCCTGGACGTCCTCTATTTCTCCAACGAGCAGGGTTGCAGCGTGAGCGGCTACCGCCTCGACACAGCCAACGGTACCCTGTCGCTCTTCCAGACCGTCACCACCCTTCCGCCGGAAGGCTTTGCCGAGAGAAACACCTGCTCCCAGATCCAGGTCAGCGGGTCGGGAAGGTTCCTGTACGCGCCGAACCGAGGCCATGACAGCATCGCCTGCTATACGGTGGATACCGCAACCGGAGAACTGACCGGCAACGGGCATCGTCGCATCAGAAGCCAGGCCCAACGCGCTGTGCCTGGGCCCCGGAGACCGGTACATCTACTCCGCAGGGACAGGATTCGGGCCAGATGGCCATTTTCAGGGTTGATGCTGATTCTGGCGCGCTGGACCGTTCAGAGACCGTTGCGCTGGGCAGCGGGCCGTGCTGGATTTCGATCGTCGAGTTGCCTGGATAGGACAACCGGGTCTGCGTCGCGGTGTCATTTACCACATTCACTAACGGGGGTTTGAGAATGGCCTCACCAGAATTGGACCGGGCAATCGCCATGTTCCGGGCGGGCAAGGCGGAAACGCAGGACTTTACCACCGTCGAGGAGTTCCGGGTCTGGTACGAACAGTTCACGGGCCAGTTTGAATCTGCCCGAAGACGCCGTTTTCGAGCAGGTGGGAGCGGGAGGTGTCTCCGCCGAGTGGATTTCCACTCCCGGGGTGTCCCAGGACCGGGTGGTCATGTACCTGCACGGCGGGGGCTACATGATCGGTTCGATGCGGACGCACCGGTCTCCGCTGTCCTACCTGTCCCGCGTGTCCGACGCCCGGGTGCTGGGGCTCAACTACCGCCTGGCCCCGGAACACCCCTTCCCAGCGGCGGTGGAGGACTCGGTGGCGGCCTACAGCTGGCTGCTGTCAGAGGGCGTCTCGCCCGGGCGCATCGTCATAGGCGGTGACTCGTGCGGCGGCGGCCTGACCATCGCCACGCTGGTCGCCTTGAAGTACTTCGGCTACCCTCTTCCGGCGGGTGGAATATCCCATTCCGGATGGACCGATCTGGCCCACACCGGGGACAGCTTTGTGACCAAGGCCGAAGCGGACCCGCTCATCGATGGGTGCCTCCAGGCAACTGTTAGGAATTTGGGTTAGAATCCCATCGATGACTCGATAATGCGCAGGAGGTGCTATGGCATCAATAAGGCTGTATTCCGGAGATGACGGAGAGTCCCACATCGAGGTGATAGACCCTTCCTCTCACCCAGCTTGGACCGAATTGCACAATGCCAAAGGAATCGTATTCAGGGCGCTGCCTCCAGGCTTCTTCAGCGACTGGCACGTAGCTCCACGTCGGCAGTACCTGATTACCCTTTCCGGAGAGGCGGAAATCGGACTTGGCGACGGCACCGTCCATCGCCTCGGCCCGGGAGACGTCAATCTGGCGGAAGACCTGACCGGCCGTGGACACACGACACGCGTCGTTGGCGATGTTCCCAGGGTCGTAGCCACCATTCACCTGGGCGATTAGTGCATTGCAGAGCCGGTCTTGGCCTGCTGTAAGGGAGACAAATTCATGGGGGTTGCAGGAAAACGGCAGCCCCTGAATACATCCCAAACAGTACCCCATACAGCACACTCTGGTTTGACGCAGCCAGGTGGCCGGAACCGGAGAATGTTACCGAAACTTTAGCACCTGGGATCCGCTCCAATCAGCGCCAGTTCCGGCAGTCTATTCGGTTCCGCGAAGGGCTCAGCAGTCCCGGCGTAAACCAGTTCTTTGGCCATTATGCCGCGCCACTCTTTCACTCGGCGCTGCATGGTTCGCAGCTGCGCCGCGTGAAACGGTCCGGGTGTTCGATTGCAGCCTGGCCATCAGCGCCTTGCCGGTGGCATCCGGTTCGGCTTTGCAACCAGACCAGCACGTTACCCCAAACGCCCTCGAAGGGGTCCTTGCGGGTCCGCCAGTGCCGGGGACCTCGGACCCGGGCCGCGTGAGTAGGTCGGACCTCACCCTGTCGCCATAGCCTGGGCAACTTGGCGAGGAACTTGCTCAGGCTTTCGCCCGACGGGGTTTCCCTCACCTCCGGTGAAGTCGCCGCCACCAGGGCTGACTGGGCTTCACGGATGGTATGCAGCAACAGCACCGGGTCCAGCCTGGCCCGGTACTGGATGAGCGCGGCCCTCATGTCATCGCTGGTGGCATCGTGCTGGATCAGCCGGTCGCAGGGCGTGGTCGGCGGACTGTAACGCTTGACGGTGGTGCTCCGTCCCGGGTCTTGTCGATCAGCTTGAAGGAAGGCTGGAAGAAGTTCACGTACAGGCGCAACGCCCCGTAGAGTTGCGCCATGGTCTGACCGGCGACCTGACCTGAGTAGCGATCATGGCCGACGAAGCGCCGCACCACGTTGCCGTTCTTCTGCTCGATCCAGGCCTGATCGTTGCTGCGGTACGCCCTGGACCGCGTGAACTCGATGCCGCGGTCAGCGCAGTACCCGATCAGCGTCTCGTTGATGAACGCACCGTCGTTGTCCGAGTCGATGCCGCGGATGAGGAACGGCAACCGTTGGCCAATGGCTTCCAATCCCTCCACAATCAACGACTGCTCCTTGGCCAGCAGGGGAACGGCTTCGGTCCAGCCAGTGCAAACGTCGGTGGCGACCAGGCTGTGGATGAATGATCCGGACAGTGGCCCACCGCTGTGAACCACCAAATCTATTTCCAGAAAACCCGGTGGCGGTCCGTTCCAGTCGTTGTAGGTACGCACCGGAACGCGTTTCCCCATCGACCGTTTACGCCGGCGTCTGCGCCGGCTGCCCGCCGTGGGACGGATGGGTTTCAGCAGACGATCAAGAGTGGCTGCGCTGGCTGCCAGCAATCGGTCCCGCACCTCTGGGTCCAGCGCGAGATGTCCATGGCGCTCCATGGACTCCACCAGGTGGGGCATCGCCGCTTTCAACCGTTTCCCGCAGATGCGGTCGGCGGCTTCCCAGATCACGATCACCGCCTCACTGACCGCCTCATCGTAGATGCGCTGGCCCCGTGCCTGACGCGGAACCTCGTCGTCCTCGTCAAGCTGCCCGAGCAACCTGATGCCGTGTTTGCGATGGTGGCCGGTTACGGCGATGAATTCATCGAGGATACGGCTCTTGTCCTTCTTGGAGGAGCTCCGGTAGCGATCTCTCAGTGTGACCAACAATTCCCGCTTTGCCATCCTGCTTATGCCTCCACCCACGTGGCTGCCTCCGACTTTTCGGTAGCATTTTATTTGAGGCAACTACTTTCGTTGGGTAACGTTTTGGGTGAGGCAATGCGCGTCAACGAATCTGTCCCGCTCAATGATGATGGGCCAGTTCTCGGGGAGCTGTGAGAGTAGGTCGGCGACGGGAAACTGGTCGTCCCATTTGCCATTCTCGGGGTCGTCCAGCATCAGTTAGCTTTCTTTGCCTGAAGTGCGTCCATCCACGCTTGCACGTCTTCCTGCCGAAACCGGACCGATCGTTGTCCGACTGCCACCGGCGCCGGGAATTCGCCGCTGCTGATTTTCTTGTATAAGCCAGATTTAGAAATCCCAACGACGGAAAGCACCTCTTTGACGCTTAGCAAACGGTTCATTTCTTGCCTCTCTGCGAGGCAAAAAAATACCCCGCACCTGTACGCGCGAAGTACTCCACAATAGTCCAAAAATATTCGTTACCGTGTCAAGCTATAATTTTCTTCGAACTGCATCGACACATACGCGCCCCAATCCACCATTGCTCGGCGCCGTAGCTCGAACTCATCGGATCGCAGGTATGCGGCCTCGGTAGCATTGCCTACTGCGCGCCAGGGCACTTTCGGCGATTTGCCTGTCAATGTTCTGTTCCGCGCACCAGTCCCTGAAATTGGACCGAAATCCATGGGGATTGGCCTCTATGCCGTTGTCCCGCAGCATCTTTGAGAGCGTGCTATCGGTCATCGGCTTGCCCCTGAGAGTGGGAAATATCAAGCCCTCGCCGCCCAACAAACCCCGGGCGACTTCCAGAACGCCCAAGGCTGCATCGCTCAGTGGAACGCGATGTTCACGGGCCGAATTCATTCGGCTGGCCGGAATGGTCCAGTGCGGGCCTCCAAGTCGATCTCGCTCCAATCTGCGTTGCGAACCTCGCCGGATCGGGTTGCTGTCAACACCAGAAACTCAAAAGCCAACTTAGTACCGCGCCAAGCAGTCGAATCCCGGACAGTTCGGAGGACTGTCCAAACTTGCGAGTGCGGCGGAGCCTTGTAATGTTCTCTGGTGGTCAGCTTGGGCAACGCCTGATTGATATTCCCTTCGGCAGGGTTGTCAGTCCGAAATCCTTGAGCGATGGCCCATTTGAATATCTGGTTAAGCTCTGACTAGACCTTCACGCCGGTGGCAGGCGTCTCTATGGTCAAGGGTGCCAGGAACGCCAGCACGCCAACGGGTGTAATGGCGCTAATCCGACGCTGGCCGATATTCGGCAGGACGTACATGGCCAAGCGCTCACGCATTATCTTCTCGGTGCGCTGGTTATTCCAGCCGGCCCGCAGCTCTTCGATAGCCCGCTCCACTGCCTGGGCAAACGTCGGGGCAAGGTGAGGCTTCACCATTGGAACGGATCCCTCACCGACAGTGCGGGAATTCTCGAAGGCCTAGGTCCAGGCCTCGGCAAGACCGACAACTGGATACCGGCCCGGCTACTAGATCAATCGGCTTGTCATTCAACCTCAACCGCTGCCGGGATTTCGCTACACCGCCGTAGGCCAATTGTTTCACCAGCAAGGTCAGGCCATTGCCACCCCGCTTCTCGCCATATCGCCCCGGCGTATTGACCGCCTTGCAGGAGGTCGCTGATATGCGCTATGGCGGCTCCACTCTTGCCCTTGGGTTACCGATTTCGTAACTGCTATTGAGGGAACACACCGAACACCAGTAAACGTCAATGGACAAGTATGGAGCATATTTAGCCTTGCGAAAGGGTATCCCAGTGAACTTATGTGGACATACCTGGACAAGGAAATAGCCCAGTCGTTGCCACCACTCTCTCTACCCGCGAAGCCTCTCCCTAAACCTCCGCCAGCCCGTACGCCCTCGCCGCCGTGTTGTGGAACAGGTCAGCCTGCTCCGTCGCCGAAAACTCCCGCGTCAGGCGCTTGAACGCGTTCCAGCAAACGGTATAGGAACACGACTGCTTGTCCACCGGGAAGTTGCTCTCGAACATGCACCGGTCGGGTCCAAACTTCTCAATGCTGTAAAGATAGTATGGAGCCCCCGACGCCGCGATCTCGCGCGATCCCGGCGGGAACGGACGTGTGTGCCAGTCGAAGCCGCTGATCGGGTTGCCCAGTCCCCCAACCTTCATCACCACGTTCGGGCACTCGGCCACCGCATCGATGCCCGCGCGCCACTCCGGCATCAGCTCATCGCGCCGCCCGGCGTACGGCCCGATGCCCAGCGGCCGTCCCACGTGGTTCAGAATGATGGTCAAGTCAGGGAACGCCCGCGCCATGTCCGCCACCTCCGGCAACTGCGGATGGTAGACGATGCAGTCGAACTTCAGCCCCATCCGTTCCAGGCAGGCCAGCCCCCGGCGAAAGTTGGAGTCCGCCAGCATCCCCGCCGAGTTGGCTCGCGCCACGTTGATCTCCGGGCTGGCATCCCAGGCCGCGGTGCACCGTATCCCACGGAACCGCCCCTTGCCCGCCTCGTTCAGCGCCTCCAGTACCGGCTCCACTCCGTCTCCCAACATCAGGTCCGCGTTGCCCACGATCGCGGCTGCCACGGCAGTCTCGTTGCCCGCAGCAACGTTGGCAGCGGCGATTCCCTCGACGAACTCCACCTCGCCCACCGACCGCATTTCCACCGGCCCGTCGGTGCGGTACTGGGAATGGCACTCCACGAACACGGTCTGGTTCACCCGGTGGCCCGATCGCGCGTCCCCCAGCAGGTTTTCCAGCAGGTAAACATTGTCGGGACGCTCCCAGAAGTGATGGTGCGGGTCGAGGATGGGCATATCCGGCTCAATGGGCTCTTCCTCGGTCAGCGCAAGCCACGAGTCCAGCTGCGTCGTCATTTCCAACTCCTAAGCGTCCCCTGATTCTACGCCACACCGCTCGGACGCCGGACGGCCCTAGGCTACTACGAAAGGTGGCAATGCTCAAACGGCCCGAGGGCAATAAAGGTATAATCCTCGTGCCGCAAGGGGCGGTAAATTGGTTACTCAAACACAGGAGGCAACATGGCCGAACCCACCATGGCCCAGGTCCGGGCCGCTATGAACGCTATGATAGACAAGGCGATGGAAACGCCCAATGAGCCGGTGGCGATGGCCATCGTCGACAGTGCCGGCAACCTGCTGGCCTACCAGACCATGGACAATCTGCGCATATTCAGCCGCCGCCACTCCCTCCGCAAGGCCCACACCTCGGCCCTGATGGGCTTGGACTCAGGAGAGAACGCCAGCCGCCTGCACGGCCAGGGTCGCAACATCGCCGACCAGGGCGATCCCATGATGACCTATGGCACAGGCGGACTCGTCATCATGAAGGACGGCGTCATCCTCGGCGGCATCGGCGTCGGCGGCTATCCCAGCGGCCAAGCCGACGAGGACCTGTCCCGTGTCGGCCTGAACGCCATGAACCTCTGATTTTTGGCCCTCAACCTGGCATGCTGACGTGTTCTCTGGCAATTCAACGAATTATGTAAACCTCGCCCGTCTGGCCCTGATCACGGTCGCGGCAATAATCGCCCTCATCTCGGCTGCCTGCATACAGGAAGGCACAGCCGGCTTGGAGTGCGAAGACGGCGGTGAGCAGTGGAAGGAATACCGGCTTTTCCTGGGACGCAACGTCGGCGACATCGAGGTTGTCAGCGACGCCGACTGGGACGCCTTCTTGGCCGATATTGTTACTCCACGCTTCCCGGACGGGTTATCTGCACTGGACGTTGCGGGACAGTGGCGGGGCGAAGATGGAAACATCGAGCGGGAGCGTTCAAAGATGTTGCTGATCTTGGCCCCGCCGGACACCAGCCCGCTGGATCAGTTGAACGAGGTATCAGCCGAGTACAAGCGCCGATTCAGCCAGGATGCGGTTCTGCGTGTAGTAACGGAGGCCTGCGTGGCCTTCAAGTGAACGGCACGCCCCTCGAGTTAACAGGCACTGCAATTCTAAAGGAGAAGGCCTATGCGAATCGGAGTTTTCGTTGGCGCTTCTGTCGCCGACCTGATGACCCTGGACGGCCTGTTGGCCCGAATCAAGCAGGCCGAGGACGACGGCTTCGACAGTTTCTGGATCCCCCACATCTCCGCCCGCGGCTACGACGCCCTGACCACCCTCGCCATGGCCGGGATGCAGACCAGCCGCATTGAGCTGGGCGTCGGTGTCGTCCCCACCTACCCGCGACACCCGGCCGCGTTGGCCCAGCAGGCCCTGACCACCGCCACGGCAACCAACGGGCGGTTCATCCTCGGCATCGGCCCGTCGCACCGTCCCGGCATGGAGGAGGGCTTCGGCATCCCCTACGATCGTCCGGCCCTGCACACCCGCGAATACCTCTCGGTGATGCGTCCCCTGCTGGAGGAGGGCGCTGTCCAGTTCAACGGAGAGTTCTTCAACTGCAATCTTGAACTGGCCGCTCTCGAGCGCCCGGACTGCCCCATTTTGGTTTCCGCGCTGGCTCCACAGATGCTCAACCTCGCGGGCCAGCTAGCCGACGGCACCGTAACCTGGATGGCCGGGCCCCGCACCATCGAGACCCACATCACGCCGCGCATCCGCCGCTCGGCGGAAAACAGCGGCCGTCCCCAGCCCCGCGTCTGCGTCGGACTGCCCACCGCGGCCACCGACGACGAGAACGCCGGACGCCGGAAGGCCGCCGAGTCCTACGCGCGCTACGGCGACCTGGTCAACTACCGCCGCCTCCTCGATATCGAGGGTGTGGAAAGCCCGGCCGAAGTGGCCGTAATCGGCAACGAGCAGTCGGTCCAGCGGCAGCTTGAGGCCTTCGCGGAGGGCGGAGCGACCGACTTCGTCGGCAACATATTCGACGTCCCCGGCGAACCTGACTCAGGCCAGCGCGCCTACGATGCCCTCAAGGCCCTGGTAGGCAAGATCTAGTCTCGCCCCCTGTAGACACAACCTAGGAGGAGATTATGGCCCCGAGAATCAAGCACATAGCGCTCCACACCGAGGACCCCGTGGCCACCGCCGAGTGGTACAAGACCTGCTTCGGCCTCGAAGAGCTGCGTCGCTCCCCCGACGGAGGCGCCGAGGGCGTATGGCTCACCGATGGCTACATCTACTTCGCCATCCTGAAGATGGGTACGGAAGACGCCCCCAACCTCGGCGAGGGCCCCTCAACCGTCAAGGGCGTGCACCACATCGGCTTCTACGTCGATGACATGGAAGACGCCGTCTCCACTGTTGAGGACCACGGAGCCACCGAGTGCCCCGGCAGCAGCCGCGCCAACCGCAAGTACAAGGGCCCCGACGGCCTGATGATCGACCTCCGCGTCCGAGGCTGGGACGAGCAGATCCGCGCCCGCAGCACCCTATACGAGCTGGTCGAGGCACCGCCCCGTGAGCCCGCGGCCACCCCCGCCGACGACTAGCTCCCTGCACAAACGCTCCGAGCCTTTTTGTGCTCGCCTGGTAAGGAACAACCCCGCTAAAGTCCCAGCAGTGTAAGGAGGCGAAGCCCATGCTTACCCACAACTACACGTACCAGGAGTGCCTGGACGTATCCAAGAGGGTCTCGTGGCTGGAGGACAATGTCCTGGCAAACAAGAATTTCGACTTCTCCAAGCGCTTCCTGCCCAACAGGTTGAGCGGCGTCGACGATATCGGATGTCTGAACGACACCGAGAAACTCCAGATGAATCAGATCATGGGCAACGCCTACTGCCACATCTTCGCCTTCGTGGAGGAGTTCATCATCCCCACCGTAGCCGAGGAGGCCTTGAAGGATGTCTATGGTGACGAGGTCAGGGCCCGCTCGCTGTTGCGGTTCGCCGAGGAGGAGTTCAAGCACCAGGAACTGTTTCGCAGGTCGGTTGTCCTCTTCGGCCAGGGTTTCGGGATCGAGTGCGGCCTGATACCAGGTCGGAGAGTGGCCGAGGTGGTCCCTGAGCAAGTCCAGCTTGCCGTCATGGTCTTGACCGCGATTATCGAATGGTTCACCCAGCTCCACTACATAGAGCATGTGCGCGACGACTCGGACCTCGATGGGCTATTCCGGGATCCTCCTGAGGTTTCATCAATTTCACGGCTGGAAGAGTCGCAGCACGCCAAGATGGGCACTCTGTGAGTCGGCGAATGCCGAGGACTCACCCTTGAAGAAAGGGAGGCGGCGTTGATGAGTCCTGGAGCTTGGAGGGGCCATCGACGGGCTCTTGGCCCACAGATCGGGATGAATATCGAAGCCCTTGAAAAGGCGACTGGCGGGCGTTCACTGACAACCAGCCGAGATCGAGGAGATCACCACCAATCCCAGCTGAGCGCTGCCGGTTGAGCCTTCCTGGTTCTTCTGGATTGCAGCACCCAACATCGTCAGGGCCATCGCGAGCTGACTACAGAGTGGTCCGCGAAAATTGAGCGTCGCCGCCGCACACGATCAATCGGCTTAGCGACACACGCGCGCCGGTGTTGCCTGAAGCGTTCGCGGTGAATCCCCGGCGGGACCGGAATGGACCGCTCCACGAAGGAGTTCCAACCTGCACAGACGGAGGACGGAGACAGCAGGGCCACCTGCGTCGTTCAACGCGAGCGGCCTGAGTCCCCTACCCTCGCACGTCACTCCGGCGCGCGCTTCTCGGCGAACGCCGCGTCGGTCAGGTCCCTCGGTCGTGCGGAGTTCAATGGCACCCGACCGTGTCCCCACGCGGCGTTGACGCGATACGACTCCTCCAGCCCATAGCGCGCCGCCATAACGAGCCACGGCCTTCGTCCGCCTGCACACCGCCAGCGGCGCGGTAGGCCCCGATCATCATCCGGCGAATCTGCTCCCACCGGGCCGCCGCGGGGCATCACGCCTCCGGCTCCAGCATCTCGTGGACAAACGCCACCGCTGTGCCTCCTCCGCGCTCAGTGTGGCGCCGGTCAGCATCAGGTACATCGCACGCCTCGCCAAAGGTGCATCAGCCGCGCAGGTGGTTGATGCCGTAGTTGGCCAGTATGGAATGGATGCGCTTAACCTCGCACAGCCCGAAGTACGCCGTCGGTCGCAGCAACTCCGGAGTCGCAGTCGGCAGCTCGCTCCTCCATCCCGGCTGCCGATGGCCACCCGTTTGACCGCCGCTATGAACGGCTTGGGTTTTGCGTCGAAGGGCTGGTTGGCCCTGGAGTGGGTATGCCTCGATCCCCCTCCCCTCCTCAGTCTGGCCTCCCTGACGCTGCCACTACCCCCTCTGCCCATCTCCCTCAGTCCGCCCCCATCCGAGATTCCCGTCCATCCCAGTGCCTATGCCCACCTCATCTCATCTTCTTTCGACAACTCTCCCACTCCTCCCCCAATTCCCCTCCCTCATCTTCGCCCCCCCATTCCACGCCGTCAGACCGGTCCATAGTGAAACGGCCAAAGTTGCCTTCGGGTACCGTCGTATCGCAGTCCCGCCATCCCTCTCCTCCTCACTCGCCCAGCACTCAGGAGCACCGCCGCGTCACAACGCCCGCGTCCGTCGTTTTGAGGCCCGGACTGCCAGCCCAATTGTCCCCAAATGACCGATGGACGGAACTCGCGTTGGGCGCATCATCGAGAACCTTATGTTTTTTTTTTTTTTTTTTTGTTTTTTTAATTTGTTTTTATTTCTTTTTTTTTTTTTTTTTTTTTTTATTTTGTTGTTTTTTTTTTTATTTTTTTTTTTTTTTCTTTTTTTTTTGTTTTAGTGTTTTTTTTTATTATATGGGTTTTGTTTTGTTTTTTTTGTTTCTTTTTTAATTATTGTGTTTTTTTAATGTTGTAGTATTTTTTTATTGTGGGTATGGCTTTTTTTTTGTTTTTTTTTTTCTTTCTGCTTTCTTGGCTTCTTGTCCACCAATATGGATCTTTTCTATATTTATGTTCTGGTTTATTTTGTTCTTCACTCTTTATTTGCAGTGTGTTTTGTTTGCTTTTTTATTCGTATCTTTTTAACGCACCGAGGTCTCTTAGAATGTGTGTGGCTTGCTTTTTGTGTGAGCGCAGTCTTTGAAAGTGTATTGTTCTTTGTGCGTGGTGATAGCTGTTTTATTAGTGTCTTGTTAAATTAGAGGGCAGGAGATCTCGTGTGACTGTTTAGGGTGTTGTCTTGTCTTTGTTATTATGCTAAGATTGGTTGGTTTGTCCTATCTTTCCATTACTTTTTAGGTTGTATTTATTTGGGAATTATGATGCTGAGTGGGGAATTGTGTTTCTTTCTGTACGTCTTTTATATTGTTTCATATGTACATTTTCATTATGGGTAGAAATTAAATTCTATGTTACATATATGTATTTTTATGCTTACTGATTCGTCTTTCTTGTGCTTTTTTTTGTATTAATTGTGCCTTATGCGTTCTTTTTTTTTCTGTATTTCTCTGGTTGTTTTTTGTCTAGTGAATTTTGATTTATTAGAGTTTCTTTGTTACTGTGGTTGATTTGAGTTTCTTATTTTGTTGACTGTATCTCGTTCTGATTTGTTATTTATGTTAGGAGCTGGGATCCTGTTCTGTCGTTTTGTTATGGCTGTATTAGTTTTATATACTTCCATTTATTTTCGTTAGTTCATCTTGATCTTTTTATTATTGGCATTCTACTAATTAAATACGATTTTCGGATTATATCTTCGACGCTAATTTTAGAAAAATTTATTTAGTGATTAGGTATGCATGTGTCAGCCTCTTTTTGTGTTTATTTCGTTTGGGAGTTCTTCTCTTTTTCTTTCGTTATGATTTGCGCCTTGATGCGGGGTTATTGGAATCGGATCAGATTTCTCGATAGCTTATTAGTGGCTGCGATGTGACTGTAGTATGATAATTTCTTGTTGTTTTCAATTTATTTACTTTATTTTATTGTTTTGCTTCTTTTTTATTTTTTTTTGCTTTATGTTTTAAATTAATATTTATTTAGTGTGTTTTGTGTTTTCAAGAAGGAAATTTCTTTTGTTTTCCGTTCATCTGAGGGAGTTGTGTCTCTTTGATTGTGAATTGCTTTTTCAGCTTGGCCTTGTCGAGATTTACTGCTTTAGTTGTGTATTGTGTTATTTTGGGCTTTTTCGCCCTATCGTAAACTTGTTTTATTCTGTTTCTGTTAATTGTTAATTGTTATTTATGGTTATTGTTGTCATGTGTCTTACGTTATAAGTTTAGTTTTGGGCATTCTTTCTAAATTGCTTTTTCACTTTGTGTTTTGCTTTTTTTTGTTCTATTTGGTTAAGTGTTCATGGTGTACTCTTCTATTCGTACTGTGCTTTTTGAGCTGTGGATGTTTTGTTCCTTTTTTTCGATTTGTCAATGTCTCTTGATCATTGACCGGTAGTGTTGTTTTCGTTTGTGCAATTTTTTTGCTTGTCATTTTTATTTCCTCTTTATGGTTTACTTTTTTATTATATACTTCAGGGGAGTGGGATTGGTTAGTGGCCTTATTTGCTTTAATTTCTGTCTGATCAGGTAATATTAATTTTTGTGTATGGGAGTTTTTTCATGTAGTTGTCGGCTTTCATTTCTTGTTATTGGTCCTTTGTTCTTTCATTGATGTATCTCACAATCATCATTCTTTTATGTTATTTCTGTTTGTCATGGCTTTAGCTTTATATTGGTGAAGTTTGTTCTTTTTGGGTTGTTATTATGCTGACACTTCTGATTTTATGGTTTAAAATTTTTGTAGGAACTTACTTTGGTTGTGTTTTGTATTTTTAATTGGGGGCTCTTTTATTCTCTGTGTATAGATTGGATGTCTGATTTTTTTTGGTCTTTACGTGTGGGTGTGTTATTTTGGACTGTCGTTTGTTGTATTGATTTACAGTTTCGGGTGAATTTTATCGATTTTTCATTATACCTTTAAAAGTCTGTTTTTTAGATTTTACTGGTTGGTGAGTTTGTTTTTAGATAATTTATCTTTTTTGTGTTTGTTTTGTATTTAGCTGTTTTTAGCTTTTCTGTCGACAGTTCTCGCGTGATGTTGGTCATATTATTTGCCGCGAGTTTCCGCTCGGACTTTGGCATAATGAGATAGAATAGTCCGCTTTTTATTAATTTTAAATTTTCGATGCCGGAATTTTGTAACTGTATATTTTGTATGGGTTTTTATTTTTACCGTTTGACAATAGATTGTGGATTGTAGGATATTATTTACGCTGGTCCTTACATGAATATGATGCTACTCTGTAAAAACTTTTATTTCGTCTTTTTGCCATTAGTTAGTTGGTTTTATTTGTTGGTATTTCCCGCTTTCCCTTCAATTCTGCCCCTTTTTTTTAATCGGCTTTCTTTTTTTGTTTTTCTCTTTGTCAATTAATTTCCTTGCTTTTTTTTCTTTATAGCGCTTTTTTTTCTTTTCCTATTTTCTTATCTTTTTCTATTTTTCTTTTCTTTACCTTCTTTCTTGTCATTTCTCTTATCTACTTACTTTTTCCGCGTTCCTTACTTGTAATTTTTTTTTTATTTTCGTTGTCCTCCGGCGGGAGTACAGGTCCGTCCGCCCCGGCATCACGATGGCCCGCGCCTTGATCGCCCCCAGCGCCTTGGCGAAGTCGCCGTTGTACGTGTCGTTCAGGCTGATGTCGGCGTTCTGCCACGTCCGAAGCATGGCCAGAAAGTTGTTGGCGTCAGCGAACAGACGGCGTCCCTCCCAGAAGGCCACCAGGTAATCCTCCAGCGACGAGTACCCGATGTCCAGGTACACTTCCTCTCGGTAGAAGGCCTGCGACACCGCCCATCCTGCGTACACCCGACCCATGGCCCGCAGCCCCTTGTACGGCGGCGAATCGTACCAGCCGTTGGCCCACGCGTCGTCGGCCGTCAGCGCCGCCTTCACCCCCTCAAGGAACACGAAGTTGTGCCGCGATGTCCGCGCCGACCCGCAGATGGGCGCGATGCGCTCCACCATATCCGGGTACAGCGCCCCCCACTGGTAGGTCTGCTGCGCCCCCATTGACCAGCCCACCACCAGCGCGATCCGCTCGATGCCGAACAGCTCGGTGACCAGCCGGTGCTGGCTCGTCACATTGTCGTACAGCGACACCCAAGGAAACCGCGCCCGGTCATACGGCATAGGCGTGTTCGACGGCGACGACGAAAGCCCATTCCCCATCATGTTCGGCACAATGATGAAGTACTTCTCCGGGTCCAGCGCCTGCCCAGCCCCGATAATATTCTCGTTCGCGTAATGCTGCCCCCCAAAGAACGTAGGGAACACAATCGCATTGTCCCCAGCCGAGTTCAGAGCCCCATAAGTCTTGTAAGCAATCCAAGCCCCCCGCAGAGTAGCCCCACCCTGCAGCCGCAGGTTGCCGAGTTCAAATATACTGTAGTCGCTCATTGACAAGGTTCCCCCTATGTCCTTAGGCTCAAACGAATAAAGTCTTTGGTTAACGTGCTGTTGATATGCACCTGATGAGAATGAGTCTGGGTGGAATACCCCCCTTCACTGAACCGATTCAACTGAAGTTCGACGAACGTGTCAACCTATTCATCGGACCCAACGCCTCAGGCAAGAGTACCATCCTCTTGGTGTTGGCTGACCGCCTGATTGGGCCTGAAGAGGATGCCAAGAGGCCGATTTCACAAGGGAGGGCCTTCCTTAGAGCGGGCCTCTACACTGATGATGAATTCGAAGAAATCATCACTGACCACACGAAGCATAGTCTTTCTACCAACGTCCTCACTGGCAGTGAGGATTGGCTAGGCACAAGGGATGAGCCCGTAAGGAACCAGGAAGACCCTCCTACGATTCACATCGGTTCGTTCCGGGAAGTCCTTCCCGGCATCTCTGACCAGGATGATCCCGACACCTATGGAAAGACGGCCGCTGAGGCGTTGGATGGGCCATTTAGCGGCCACGCACAATGTGCGCGTCTCGGCTGTTGGGAGAGGAACTTTGGCGGTCTGAACGGGAAGACCTCCCTCCTATGGCAAGGGTAATTCTGATGGACGCGATGAAGTTGGCTGATGCTTGCAGCAAACGCATTTGCGATGAAAGTAATTCACGATTCCAGATCACGCAATTACATCCCTGACCCGTATGCAATGGGCTACCTCCACCACCCACACGCTGATCCAAGCAACATAAACATATTGCGTTTGATGGGAATTAACACAAACGATCCGCGAAATTTTGACGGCCTTCCGCTTCAAGAGCAGCCTGCATCGTCAGCTTATGCCGACTATCACGAGCCACTACCCATTTATCTTGGACATCTCAGCTCCGGAACGGAAGGGACGCTGCTCTGGATACGATGGTTGGCACTCAAAATGGTTCACCACTATGGATTCGAAAGGGACTGGGCAAGAAAACCCGCCATCCTCCTCATCGACGAGATCGAGAATCACCTGCACCCCACCTGGCAGCGGCGAGTCATCCCCGCGCTGCTGGAGCATTTCCCGGGTCTGCAGATCTTCGCCACCACCCACTCCCCCTTCGTCGTGGCCGGGCTGAAAGCAGGCCAAGTCCACCTGCTCAAGCGCGACGCAGAAGGCCGAGTAACCGCCACCACCAACACCGAGGACATCATCGGCTGGACCGCCGACGAAATCCTCCGCACAATGATGGGTGTGGACGACCCCACCGACGACGCCACCGCCGCCGCCGCCAGCGAACTACGCCAGCTGCGCAAGGAACCTCCTCGCGCCACGCCCGAAGAGGAAGAGCAACGCCAGCAACGCATCCAGGACCTACGCCAAAAGGTAGACCGCGACTTGCTGGCCGGCGGCCCTATGGCCAGGCAAAGGGAGATGTTCGAGGAGCGATTCGCGAGGGTTATGGAGAGATACCGGGAATCGCAAGACCTCAATCAAGAGGGCAGTTAGTCATTCACTCTGTACACCGCTCTCCTGAACCCGATCTTGTCCGCAACCTTCGCCAATCCGGAATTCAATGGGCTGACCTGGACGGGCATGACCGCCGCCGCATCAGGGAGGCTCTGTTTCGGGATTTCAGCGGTGTCTGTGCTTATTGCGAACGGCAATGCGAACCGCAGGACGCAGCCAGCAACCCTCACAACCGCGAGGAAATCGAACACTTCCGCCCCCGTAGTCGGTTCCCGGAACTCTCCTTTGAGTGGTTGAATCTCGTTTACACTTGCCACAGGTGCAACTAGGCCAAGGGAGATAGCTGGCCGGGATTCGACGACGGACTGATCGACCAACTGCTTGCAGCCGAAGACTCCAGGTACGTGGCAGTATCGCAGTACGTCAGCCCAAATCATTCACCCGGTCAGAGGCAAGCTTCAGAGTTCTTTACCTTCGACGTGGACACCGGCGAAATGATTCCCTCCTCACAAAGTCAACCCCTCGAATGGTCCATGGCCCGCCGCACCATCAGGGACATTGATTTAAACGACAGTCAAATGGGGGAGAATGACCCTAGCCACCTGTGGAGGCTGCGCCGGAATCTCCTCGACCTGCTTAGAACAACGGTAAACGACGTTGGGGACGAGGTCCTCTCAGCCATGATCATTGAGGAGTTCACATTGCCGGATAGCCCCTTTTCCAGCTTTGTCTCCGCTTACGTCGAGAGTTTCAGGCGCTAGTTTCCGTTTTCCAGCACGTAAACCCCACCACGATTTGACGCCCCACCCAACCCCGCCGTAGACTCCCTCCACCGCCCACACCGGCGATCACAGGAGGAAACACCATGGCCAACAACCCCGTCAACATCTTTGAATACGAAGCCATCGCCCGCGAGAAGCTGGACCAGGGACACTACGACTTCATCGCAGGCGCGGCCACCGACGAAATCACCCTCCGGCGCACCCGCGCCGTCCTCGACAGCATCAACCTGCGCCCGAAGATGCTGACCGACATCAGCCAGCGGGATCTCAGCACTACCGTGCTGGGCCAGCGCATCAGCTTCCCGGTGATGCTCGACCCCGCCGGCAACCACGAGGCGGCCCACCCAGACGCCGAGCTCGCCACCGCCCGCGCCGCCGGAAAGGCCGGCACCGTCATGGTCGTCAGCTCTCACGCCGCCCGCACCATGGAGGACGTCGCCGGCGCCGCCTCCGGCCCGCTGTGGTTCCAGCAGTACTTTTTCAAGGACCGCGGCCTCACCCTCGAGATGGCCGCCCGCGCCGCCGAGGCCGGCTACTCCGCCCTCTGCATCACCGTCGACGCCAAGATCAAGCCCAAGCGCGAGCGCAATATCCGCAACGACTACGTCGGAGCCTCCTCGCCCAACTACGACCAGATCGAGCTCTCCGAGCATTCCTGGCGTTTCGCCGCCGACGCCCCCGCTGGCGTGATGGACATCCGCGACCCCGGCGCCACCTGGGCCGACGTCGACTGGCTGGCCGCCGCCCAGAGTCTGCCAGTGGTCATCAAAGGCGTCATGGTCGGCGAGGACGGACACCACGCCGCCGATAACGGCGCCAAGGCCGTCATCGTCTCCAACCACGGCACCCGCTACTCGACACCACTTTCACCACCATCGAGGTCCTGCCCGAGGTCGTCGAGGCCGCCAACGATCAGATCGAGGTCTACATGGACGGCGGCATCCGCCGCGGCACCGACATAGTAAAGCCCTCGCCCTGGGCGCCCGCGCCGTCCTCATAGGCCGCCCCCTATTCTGGGGCCTCGCCGTAGACGGCGAAAACGGCCTAACGTCAGTCCTCGAAATGCTACGCGACGAGCTGGACGCCACCATGGGCATGTGCGGCCGCCCCACCATAGCCGACATAGACCGCCAAATAATAGGCACCGTCTCCCCCCTCCTGGGCCAATTCCCCCAACAACAAGACACCTTCCGCTACTAGATCACTGATAGGCATTCGCAGTAAAGTGGGCACCGTCAACGTGTGTTGAGGGTGCCCACTGCTACAATTCACTCACATTCATGTGTAGGCGATGATGCCATGATCGATTGGATCAGTTGCCCAGCCATCGAGAGCGACCCGGAAAAAACGAGCGGGGCTTGGGTGTTCACAGGCACGCGAGTTCCTCTCTCCGCCCTGTTCGGCAACCTGGAAGAGGGAGCCACAGTGGCTGAGTTTTTGGACTGGTTTGAAGGCGTCGAGGAATGGCAGGTGAGAGCCGTCCTGGAATACCTCATTAAAGACTTGGAGGCCCACCTCCCTCACGTCAAGTATGCGAATACTGCTTGATAACTGCACTCCCCGTCCACTGAGGCGCTATCTTGCGGAGCATCAAGTCGACACAGCCAGGGAACGAGGATGGCACAGCTCAGAAATGGTGCCCTCCTCCAAATGGCCGAGAGTGAAGGATACGAGGTGCTGATTTCCACGGACCAAGGAATACCCTATCAGCAGAATATGACAGGCAGGCGCATATCCATCGTCGTAGTCGGCGAAAACAAATGGCCACTCTTGCAGAACCGCATAGCCGAAATCACAGCAGCACTCATCGACATTGCGCCAGGCGAAATCAGGGAAGTACTCATCTGACGCCCCGGCAAACCAACCGCTATTCTACCGTTTGGACCTCAGCGTCAAACTCATTTCCCCCACCATCGCCGACATCGACCGCAACATCATAGGCACCGTCTCGCCGCTTCTAGGCATGTCCCCCAGTCTTGGGACACCGTGCTGCACTGATAGGTCGAGTACCCAGTAGGTGCAAAATATGGAATCAGATAAATAATGCAAGTTGCCTGTGGAGACATACTATTGGCATTCAGAAATCCACTCCGCAAAGCACCGCAGGGCTTGCCTCCTATTCACACCCGAGGTGGTGTCCCAAGGGTCGCTCCGCCCAAAGCAGACCAGTCTGGCAAACCCCCAGGCGTTAAGCCAGCGCCAGCCAAAAATTCGGCCAACAAGGTCGAAACCCGTGAGCACAATCCATAGCCTCGAAGTACTCTGCAACGAGCTCGACGCAGCCATATTCATGTGCGACCGCCCCACCATCGCTAACATCCACGACGTCCTTAGCAGCACCGTCTCGCCTCTCTTGGGCATGTTCCCCCAGTCTTGGGACACGGTGCGGTACTGAGGAGGGCCAGCACGTCTCGGCGCTTAAGAAGGCCGAATGCGCCACTGATTGGACCGGAAGGTTTACCTGCTAACCGGTTCGAGCGGGAAAATCATCTAGGTTGTAAAATGAGGACAGGCGAGGGGGTGGCGCATGGCTAACCCGCAACACATTGAGTGGCTGCTGGAAGGGGTGGAGGCTTGGAATGCTCGGCGCGAAGGTCTGGCTTTTGTACCCGACTTTGTGAGGGCCGACATTTACAAAGTCTTCCGCAACGGTAATTTGCTGGATGACCTTGGAAAGATCCCTTTGCAGAAAATTAATCTACAAGGTGCCAATTTATCCCTCTGCAACCTCCAATTGGCCAACCTTTACGGGGCAATTCTCGAGGGAGCAAACCTAATCAATGCTAACCTTTCCAGTACCCTGCTTATTGGTGCCAGATTGACTGGTACTGACCTGATACTTGCTAATTTGGAAGGAGCCACTCTGATAGGAGCCCAACTTTCGGACGCCAATCTCCAAAGAGCCAACCTCACTAACGCCAATTTAAACGGTGCAACTGTCGTTAACGCCAATTTAATTGATGCAAACCTTCGGGGCACTAGTTTGGCTGGAACGGAAATGTGGAAGGCGATTCTGTTTCCCGAAGGTTTGTCACCTAAACAGTATTCTTTTAGTTAGATGAAAGTCGACTCAATTGAGCAGTTCCTGAATATAATTCGAGATCTCCAAATTCACCATTCCGACGAATCACTCTATTTCCGCGGCGAATCCAGTGCCGATTGGGAATTGCGTCCTTCCATAATGCGGGACGGGTTGTTTCGGTACGAAAATGAAATGTTAACCGATCTCATAACCCGACGGCCGGACGACTTCGATAATGCCGAGTCAGCCATTTCGCAATGGGTGCTCGCTCAACATCACGGCCTCAAGACACGTTTCTTGGATATTACTAAGAATCCCTTAGTTGCTCTCTTCCACTCCTCCGAAAACAAATCTCATTCCCATGAGGATGGACGATTGCACATTTTCGCAGTGCCCAGAGACATGGTTGAACCTTTCAACAGTGACGGTGTCTCCGTAGTCTCTAGCTTTGCCAAACTCACGCAGTCGGATCAGGAAATGCTCCTTACTCGAATAGCGAGCCAAACAGAACGCGAGTTCTCCGATGCAATGAACCGTTTGATCCAGCTTGTTCGTGTGGAAAAGGACTACATCGAGGAACCCACCATCTTTGGTAATTTGTTCCGAGTTTTGGTAATCGAACCTCTCCAGTCTTCCGAACGCATACGAGCGCAGTCTGGCGCGTTTTTGGCCTCCGCATTCCACCACAGATTTGAGCGAGAGGAGATTGTTCGATCGACCAGCCGTTTCCCAGTCTACGCCCACTATACCCCAACGGTTCCAAACACAAGCAAAGGAGGCATCTTGAGAGAGCTAAGCCTCCTGAACATTAGCAGCGAGACGCTTTTCCCCGGGTTAGATGAATCCGCCAGAGCCATCACCGACACCTACTACCAACGCCTCGAACAAGGCTAACCTCACCTCCCACCCACCGTGTACAATACCCCCACAACCCACCCCCCATCAGGAGGCACAACCATGACCACCCTTGGCTCCGGCCACTACACCTACTCCGTCCAGGAAAACTGGGCCAAGCTGCCCGAGGGCGAGTCCTTCGCAATGGTCAGCGCCATAGCCACCGACTCCCAGGACCTCGTCTACGCCTTCCAGCGCAAGGAACCCGCCCGTCCTCATCTTCGACCGCGACGGCAACCTCCAGGACTCCTGGGGCAACGGCTCCTTCCTCTTCGCCCACGGCTTCTACATTGAAGACGACGTCGTCTACGTCACCGACCGCGACGCCTCCACCTGCCTCGTCTACACCCTCGACGGCAAGCCCGTCCAGATGCTCGGCCGCCACGGACGCCACTCCGACACCGGCTGCGAGGTCGCCGGCGACCTCGTCCCCCGCGCCGCCGGCCCGTTCAACTACCCCGCCGAGCTGATCCCCTCGCCCTCCGGCGAGCTCTACGTCGCCGACGGCTACCGCAACTCCCGCATCCACCGCTTCACCAGCGAGGGTGAGCTGATCCAGTCCTGGGTGAGCCCGGCAAGTCCGAGGCCAACCACTTCCACCTGCCCCACAGCCTCATCATCGACGGCGACCGCATCATCGTCTGCGACCGCGAAAACCACCGCATCCAGCTCTTCACCCTCAACGGCGAGTTCATCGAGTTCTGGAACGACATCCAGCGCCCCATGGACATCTCCCGCGACCCCGAGGGCAACTTCCTCGTCAGCGAGGGCCAGGTCAACGGCAGTTCCGCCCGCATCAGCATCGTCGACCCGTCCGGCGGCGTGCTCGCCCGCTTCGACTGCCGCGGCTCCGGACACGGCAGCTGGATCGACTCCCGCGGCGACATCTACCTCGCCGGCGTCCCCGACGCCATCGACAAGTTCGTCCGCGAGGGCTAGGGCAACACACCGGCGCGCCATCCGTTCCTCCTCAGCCTTTCCTCACCCACGCGAGGAGCTGAGTCTGTCGAAGTTCGGAAGGTGAATCCACCCAGAACGGAGACAGCAATGGAAAAGGAACAGGCGGTTCTCGACCTGGAAAAGGTAATGGGCACCATGGGCGATGCAGAGTGGAAGAACGTCCGCATCCTGGATCACTACCAGGAGTCGCGCATCACCTACTCTCTCGTCGGCGTGAAGATCGACGACGGCAAGACCTACTACTACCAGGTCGAAACCGGCCGCTTCATCATGCTCAACATCTAGCCCAGTCACCCGTCGGCCAGAATCGAAAGGGGCGCACAATCGTGCGCCCCTTTCCTTGTGTCTGCCAGACGGACCGTCCTCAGTCCGCCGCGGCCCCCGAAGGCGCCTGCTGTCCGCCACCCGACGTCGGAGTGGTCGGCGGCTTGTACGGCCGGTGGAACGCCGCAATGATCGCCCCGGCGGTCATGATCCCCACCACCGCCAGCGCCGATATCTGGAACCCCTCCAAGTGCAGCCGCTGCGACTCCGAAGGCAGCATCAGCCCGATGGTCGCCGGCACTATCATCGCCACGATGAACGACGAGATCGTCGCCCCCGTCGCGTGTCCCATATCCCGCGTCGTCTCCAGCACCCCGGAGGCGAAGCCCCGGTTCTCCGTCGGCAGCGTGCTCATCACCGTCGCGTTGTTCACCGTGTTGAATATGTTCGTCCCCACCGATATCGGGAACAGCAGCAACGGCAGGAACCAGAAATTCACCGATCCGGCAAACAGCGCCAGCAGCACGAACCCCGACGCGATCGACAGCATGCACGCCGTCCGCAGCAACCGCGGGTTGAA